AGACCCTGGAACAAAGGAAGCTTACCCAGTTCTCTACTTGCTTTGAGTTGAAGCTTAAATCTGTGTAGTTGGGGACTTTAAAACATCAGTTTTTAAATATATATATATATATATAACTTAAAAGATTTTAAAGTCAGATACAATTAATATACGAAATTTTTACTTTTTTAAAGAGATTTTTGAGTTTTTACAATGACATGTACAATAAAACAAATAATCATAGTTGCAGTATATTGTTGATATATTTCATTTAGTTTCAAAAAAAAAAAGAAGCTTAAATCTGTGCAAAATTTGAAATAAGTGTACCTTGCAGATTTTTACCTTTTCTTTTGTTTTTTTCCATGGAGAAAACTGTAAATTATGAAGAGAGAAAGCTTGAACGCACCGTGTGTATTCTTAGCTTCTTACATAAATATTCTTCCATTTTTACTGGCTTGGTGTTAGTTTTAATATTGAGACGAACGATATTAAGCTACTCAACGGTAACAAAACCATAAGGTGATTTATATCCCCAAAATAGTAATATGGAAAACAGAATGAAACATGTTTATAACATACAGAGCAAGAGCAGGTAAGTTTTGGTATATTGTGTTAAATCCTAAGAAAATATAATTGGGTAGAGAGAGAGAGAGAGAGAGATAAAGTGTGCTTCTGCATAAATTTATGGCAATGGTGGACCTGAGAGGTTTTAATATTAGCTAGAGAGAAAAGTAAAAACGGGTGTGCATGGTTTTTGCTTTCCCCACCCATCATAACCACAGACAAAAATAGCATTCGTTTTCACAAAACTCTGCTGTTATGTGACATTAAAACTAGGATCTCTTCAACGGAGAGAGAGACAAAAAGATAAGGGTCATCAGGTTCATAACTGTCTTGAGGTTGTAAAAAGCAGAATGATAGATGGAGAGAGAGAGAAAGAAAAGGCCAAGTAGTTAAAAAAGAAAAGAGCAGTAAACATTAATGGTTTGCAGGGCAGCCAGTGTCCCCCTCGCTCCTTTCTGCGAGAGATTCCCTCAAATTTATTGTAAACCATCTTCCATCTTCTTTTAACTTCTTTCTCTACATCTTTTAAAATTATACATTTTCTTATAAACATTTGCTATGAACCCTCAAGAAGGAAAGACATAGGAGACAAAGTACACATTGCATAGTGTTTGTACCGAGTTCGGTCGTGTATCAGTAAAAAGAGTGACGGGACTCGTCGGTGGGTTATTACAAAGGTGCGAATCAAAATGAACCGAGTGAACAGGGGGTTTTATTTATAAACGGAGAGAGTACAGAGAGAATCCCGGCGTCCAGAAGCCGTGCCGAGATTCGGTTTTGGTAAAGACAACGAAATAAATCTAGCTACTTGTTCTAGTCTATGCCGCCGTCCCCGTTTCTAATTTCGGATCCCCTTCTTGTGTTGCCTCTCTCCCCTTTTATAGCTCGAGCTCTTTGGTCTTAACCTAGGTCACTCTCGGTTCATGGGCCTCCAGTATTGGGCCTGTCGTCGGCTCAACAATCCGCTTTCATACTCGTACGGACGCCACTCGGGTTTGACTTCAGTTGTTGCCGGGCCGAGTGTGATTTCTCGTGGGCCTTGAAGGGCAGGTACGGCCCACCTCCTACAGTAAGTCCCCCCAGTCTATTGACGATCGGTTGACGAGTCAATAGACTGATTCGATGAGGTTTGCGGGAAAGCATACTCGGAATGTGGAGGGAGACCTAGGAAGTTCTTCCTTTAGGCGAAGGATTCGTTCTCGTCGTCGGATGATGACTCGGGCCGGTCAGTATGACCTGGATCCTCTTCCTATTTTTTGGTTGTTCCTCCTCGGGGGGCGGTTCGTCGCGATCGCGGGGCTCGGTTTTTTCCTCAGGTTTTGATGCGTCTTCTTTTGCCTTGCTAGGCGTGCCGGATGGTTTCTGCCCTCTTTTGTCCTTGTTCTTGCTCCAGCTATTATTTCCTTTCGGACGCGGCTTTGGAGGATCTGTTGGGATTTCACCACGGGAGTATTTTCCGAAAAATATCTCCTTGAGCTGCTTGCAATCCTTCGAGTCGTGCGCCCTGGATTTGTGGTACGAGCAATATGGTTCGCGCTCGTCGGTGTCAGGTTTTTGGGATGTTGGTTCGCCCGATGCATCGTCCTCCTTTCGGTTATAGTGATTCCATCCTTTGGCGCGAACTACAACCGTCGAGTCGGAGATGGCGTCCTCGTCTACCATGTAGACGAAGCTCTTCTTCTTGGACTGTTTTTCGTCCGCCGAGTGTTGTCTCGGCTCCTGCTTTGAATCGGAGGTCTTGCTCGGTGCAGGTTTGTTCGCGTGTTGTTTACTTACCATCGCCTTGGTATCTTCTTCCATTCGGATGAAATTTTTCGAACGCGCGATGGCGTCTTGAAGTGAAGTCGTTGGGTTGCGATAGAGGTCTTCTCGGAACTTTGAGTGGATGTAAAGCGGGTTTTTCAGGGCGTCCACTGCGATGTTGTCGGGGACGTCTACCTTGGACACGACTTCCTTGAATTTTTCCATGAAATCTCTCAGGGTCTGACCGTGCAACTGGGACAGCTTCCACAGGTCGGAAGCGGTGGCTTTCTGGTTGGTGAACATGATGTGATGCTTCAAGAAGGCCGTAGAGAGGTCGCGAAAAGTGTCAATGGAGTTCTCCGGCAGGCGCGAGAACCAGTTCAGCGCGGCTCCTTCGAGACTCTCAACGAACCGCTGGCAAAAGCCGGCGTCTCGTTCGGCGTCGGTGAAGTTCGCTCGACCCATGGCGATGTTGAATGCCGTCATATGTTCCGATGGGTCGTCAGTGCCGCCAAAAGTAGGCAGGCGGATTTTCTCCGTGATTCGTAGCCGAACGTCGGTAANGACCCATGGCGATGTTGAATGCCGTCATATGTTCCGATGGGTCGTCAGTGCCGCCAAAAGTAGGCAGGCGGATTTTCTCCGTGATTCGTAGCCGAACGTCGGTAATGCGACGAGTGAAGGGTGTACGGAGGGCGGTCGCGAGAACCTTATCTATCTGGGGAGCCGCACTCGTCACGTGGTGGATCTGAGAGTGAATCTCCTGTAGTGCGAGTTTTAGCTCGGCGATCTCCCGAATGGTTCGCAGATCTGGGTTGTCAGCCGGTTGAGCGGTGTCAACCAGTGTGTCAGTCGGCTGGATGGGTTGGTTCGCCGGAGTAGGAGTAGGGTTTGTGTTGAAGAGGAATCGGCGAGCCGTGGAGAGATTTCCGTCTGGGTTTGCGAGTGCGGCGGCGATGGCCGCAAGGTGCTCGTTAGTCGTTTTTTGAACCTCTTCTTGGTGAGCAAGGCGAGCCAAGACGGAATCCATGAGGGTTTTAGGGTTCTGAACCGGCGGCGTTTCCTCCGTCTGCTCGTCGGCGGGAGGGGTTTCTTCGTTCATCTTTTACCACACTACTTTGTTATGCCCCACGGTGGGCGCCAACTGTTTGTACCGAGTTCGGTCGTGTATCAGTAAAATGAGTGACGGGACTCGTCGGTGGGTTATTACAAAGGTACGAATCAAAATGAACCGAGTGAACAGGGGGTTTTATTTATAAACGGAGAGAGTACAGAGAGAATCCCGGCGTCCAGAAGCCGTGCCGAGATTCGGTTTTGGTAAAGACAACGAAATAAATCTAGCTACTTGTTCTAGTCTATGCCGCCGTCCCCGTTTCTAATTTCGGATCCCCTTCTTGTGTTGCCTCTCTCCCCTTTTATAGCTCGAGCTCTTCGGTCTTAACCTAGGTCGCTCTCGGTTCATGGGCCTCCAGTATTGGGCCTGTCGTCGGCTCAACAATCCGCTTTCATACTCGTACGGACGCCACTCGGGTTTGACTTCAGTTGTTGCCGGGCCGAGTGTGATTTCTCGTGGGCCTTGAAGGGCAGGTACGGCCCACCTCCTACACATAGCCAATTTAGTTTGTAACGATGGATACATATAATGAAATTTGAAATAAAATTAAAAAGAGAGAAGGAGAGGGAGTAAAGAGGCTGAGCCAGCTTTAGTGCATTGGTAGTAGATGTAGTTTTAATGCACCATACCTTCCATTTCCTTCTCTCTTATACCCTAATTTAATTCCTCTCCTTTATAACTTCCCCACACAGACATTCTCACCTTTCTCCTCATCACACTTCCTATCACGTCTATCTTCTTTACAGTCTTTCTTTGAATCTGCACCCAAGCCTGTCTGCACCTTTAGCACGAAAGAGTCCTCTTTGATATTGGCCTGGTTCATTCAGATCTTCCCGATCACAATATGCATTCTCTTAGTTATCTGATTGAGCCGCGCCAATATCTCAGTGCTCTCTCGTCTCTATGTTTCTGTTTTTAGACTATGTTTCTTATAGATCTACTTATATATATTGACTCTCTTTTTTTAGCTTATGTGTGTTGAGAATGAAGCTACATTTTTTGTTGATAGTCTATTTGATGAAATCTCTTTAAGGTAACTAATAATCTTGCTTATAATATTCAGATTATTAAACAGCAAAACAGACAAAATGGTGCATATCCATAATAGCCTTACTTACCCTTTCTTCTCATCCAAGGTACCTTCGCCCAACCCTTCATTAGCTTCCTTTCCAAGTATTACTAACTCTCTTCTACTGCTTGTGATTCTCTTTGATTCATTATGATCTATAAATCCTTTTCAGAATGTGTATTGTCTATTACTTTTCATTAACAAAATTTGAAACAGAGATTCAGCTAGACTCCTCTTGTTTATCAGTACAAAATGAATGGTATTATAGAGTTAATTAGTATATACATATACAAAATCACAAAGAAGTTAATTAATCTGAAAGGACAATGTTGATGTTATGTAGAGATGTCAAAAATCACAAGAAATGTATTGTGTCATGGAAATTAATGGGAGAGAATCTGACGAGCACGAACCCTAACCTGCAAGCGAGCAAGAGCATGCATACAATGTAAGGCTATTCGAGCTTGTCTCCTCACAAGCACTCCTCTCGCCACGGCCTGAAGCTTCACCAGACTCCTGAGCGCTCTAAACGCTATCCTTCCCTACGACACTTGCATTGCAATGGTCAACTTTTACCGGAGAAAATAAAAAAAAGTTCTGATATATATTACCAAAGAAAGCTTGGATTTTAATGGCGGCAGTGTGGTCCCTAGTGGTGTCTGGGATTGATGAGCGAGTAGTGATGATTCTGCTGGGAGATCGCCGGAGATGGCTCCTCCGCACAACGCCAAACAATCTGTTGGAGTTGGCCATATTGGAGAAGTTCTTGTCTCTGCTTTGGTTTGGATGTTTAAGAGAGAAACGTGGAGTAGGAAACGTAAAATGTGAATAAAAAGTAAAAGATGCTGACTTGAAGGGAATGGGATGATGTGCTCTCCATTTTTAAGTTGTTGATCTTAACGAACAAACCAACGTGCTCGCATGCTCTTTCTCTTTCTACTTGATTTTTGTTTTGTTTTTGTTTATTTTGGTTTTGAAGACAGAAAAGTCTTTGGTCTTTTTTTACATTTTATGCCAAAAATATATAAAGAAAGGTTACTGACATTTTTACTTGAGAGGTTATACTTAACCCTGAATAACTAATTTTCCATACTCCAACTTATGGCAGAGCTAAACTTACAACACTGTTAAAAAAGTTAGGTGTTCCTTTTTTTACTTGCGAGCACAGTTTGGATTCTTGCTCTGCCGCTTTACCAAAGAAGACATGTTATATAGACTTTAGGCCCATTTAACGTCTGTTGCGGTAACGACGTACTCTAATCCCACTGCCCATTGCATTCGAACTCGAGGAGAAATCAAGACGTTAAAGTGTCATTAATCTATGAAGGTAACATGTCCGTTGCTGCTAAGTTTTATTTTAGTTATACAACTACCTCTTGTTTAAAGTGTCATTAATCTATGAAGGTAACATGTTTCACCTAAAATATTAATATGAGCGAAGTTGTATACATACACATGCAAGTTAATCATATATGCAAAGAGAGTATGTTCAAAAGAGAGACTCTGGCTTGGATCATACGCCGGTACAAGCTTTCAAGCGACTCCTCTAGTTCTTCAACTGTAACATCAACGTTATCCAAGTTGGTGATCAAAGACTTGATTCCTTCCTTCTTGATCTCTTTCGCCGAACAGAATTTTTGTAGCTCCTCGTCCATCATCTGGAACTCGTTTCCGTGTCCGGTCTGAACTTGAGCACTTGTAGTAATAACGTTCTTGATCACCAGTTTGGAAACTAGATCCCATCTTGAAGGCTTAGGTTTTGGTACTGATGAGGATAAGGACAACATGACTGTCCTAATGGAAAGACATGTTTGGGAACAGACTTTTCTGAGCAGTGTGATCAAAGGATGAGTTGACACGATGGAAGGATGATCGGTTTGTTTGATCAATAAGAAGAGCTTAGCGAGATCCTTGTGAATCAAACGTCGAGAGCGAACAAAGGCTTTAACGTGGCATCTGATCGTAAAATCTCCACCGTGTCCCCTTCGTCTGAAAGCAGAGCGGAGTTCTCGGAGACAATCCTTGATGCGGCATGTTATGTCTCTTAGCTTGGAGCACAAGTCAAGGTGAACAAGGGAAAGATCAAGAAGATGGGTGAAGAAAGAGTGATGAGGGAGTAGTAATGAAACTGGTGAGTCGTCGAAGAGATGAGAGACAGATTCATAGAGCTGTGAGAGAAGTGAGAGGCTATTATTAGTATTATCTGTAGGAAGCTTGCTGAGGAGTTGCTGAACATGGTTGAGACCATTTGAGTGTAGCCGAGCTGGTAAGCTACAAGATCGAACGTGGTAAGTGGAAGCCATTGGTGATGGGTTGAGATAGAGAAAGCTTTTAGCTAGAAAGAAGCTGAAATTGAATGAATATATAGAGAGAAAGAGATAGGTCAACTGAAATAGGTTTTAGACTTGTCAAAGTAAATGCCACGTGAAGGGGACAATGTTCTTTTGTTCCATCAAAGCCCACTTAACGTTCTTTTTATGCATCTCTCGATTAATTTTTATATGTACCTAATCCCACGTCTTTGTTATCATTAGATCTTTGGTTAGGCGAGAAGAATCAAAACTAAGATCTCTTGTCAAGAATCTCCTTCAACTTTGGGTATTGATAAACACCGTCATGTATGGATATAAGGACTGTAATTACTTTATTAGTGAGCATATATTCTCTCCTAATTGTATGATCGATCATCAGAGGAATACATAACATAATCTAAACAGTACACCAAATCATTAGACTGATCTTGAGAAAAGGTGGTGGTTGGATAATACTATACATGGGCCCGTGTACACGAGTGTCTTGTTAAAAACTTCCAGAGAAAACGATAATAGTAATCAATCACAATCACAACTCACACCGCCTTCCTTGTCTTAACTAGTTTTGAATTCATGAATGTTACTTGTCATTATCAAAGTACAGCCTGCAAAACTGATTCTCACATCCTTCTCTTATCAGATTAGATATCTCATATCTCAGATATCTATCCTTAACTACAGTTAGGCTTCTCATAATAATATATTCACGTGCTTAGGATATGTAACTTTTTTTTTCTTCGATATGCAACATAATTGGTTTACAAGGAGATATTTGATATTTCATTTCAGATATTTGTTTGAAAACACCAACCAAGTAGCTGGTTCTACGTGTATATATAACTAATATTCCTACACACTCTCCGATTAATATTTCTTTTTGTTTACATGTTAGCCTATAATAACCAATCCAACAAAAAACGTATATAGAAGTTGTCAGGGGCGTGCCTGAGAATTTTAGACTCTGAAGCCCAGTTATTTATTTGGCCCCCCAAAACTATGAGAAACTATTAAAGTTAAAATGTCATGGGAAAGAATCAAACTGCTTACCTTATTTAGATCTTATAAATACATAACCAACGCAACTGCTTTATTATTTCTGTTAAAAATTGACCTCTACTAACCATATAATCTTTCAAGTCCCCAAGCATATGCTTGATCTGCTTGTCCTCAGGCACGGCGCTGGAAGTTGTTCTTGTTGATATTAGTACTTGTTGAACATATAGAAGAAGTTGGTATTAAGGAACTACGTGAAGTTATAGGTAATTGTGACGATAGACAAGGAAAAGTTTGGGCCATCAGCCATGTGAAGTCACGTTACTCTTGATAGACCCTTCGTTACATAAAAAATAGCAACAATTAGCATTACACATGTTTTTCACTTCTTTTTCTTGTTTGTTTTCTTTTTGTCATTTTCTGTAATAAATGTGCCACCCAATTACCATTATTGGCGAGCCATTGCCCCATCACCTCACCTCTCTTTGCCGCTTC